CCAGGATAATCGGCCGATGTATATTACATCGCTCATATATTGGTGAACATCGTTCGTACATCGGTCGACTACGGGCCAATGTTTTGGCAATCATCGGCCGGTGATCGGTCGTTATCTGTTGAACACCACTAAACTCCCCGATGACCTCAAATTCAACGGATATTGGACGATACTCGGCCATACATCGGCCGATCCTTGAAAGATGTGTTTATGATGGGTTGCCGATGAGTTGCGATTTGAGGCATCGTTTGAGACATCGCTGAATTTTAACTACGAATTATTTCCTACCGATGACCCCACCGATTCGCAAAATAGCCTCAGACACCGTCCGATCACTAGTGGTGCCCAGCCAGCAACCATTTTCATCAAAAAACGCATCGGTTTCTCATCGTCTACCCCATTGCTGGATAATGTGACTTATACTTTACTGCCAATTTTATTTATAAAACCGGTTCTACCCTACAACCTTTAAATAGATCAACCTATACCACGTGTCTTGAATTTAAATCACAATAACATAAATAGGGGTGTATTTAAAACCTGGTATATTTGTGATAGAGTGATATTTTATTTTATTTATTTTATTATGTGAATATTATTTAATTATTTCAGCTACTTATATTAACGCGTATTTTATTTTGTTTTTAGGAATCGCGCTACCTTCCGATATTCGCGGTGTTTTTGCGCGCACCGCAATAAAATATTACAACACTATTTGGTTTGAATTTTTTCTTATGTTCTAGAAGTTTTTACTTATCCTGAAGGTATTTAATATTATTGGTCAGTTCTAATATCCAAGCTTGCGATTGGCTCTGGACGTTTTCCCGCCGATCTCTTTGTTTGATCTTTTAGACAGAGATAGACTATTGAGAAAGTTAGATCTATATTTTGGTCACCATATTGACATACTTATTTTTCATCAGTGCAAATTGATAATTTTGAGACGAGACCTCATGATCAGGACAGAGACTGTAAGTTGACTTCTATTTCTTTTATCTATTCTAAATCTATATTTTCCGATAATTCATCATCTTTGATTTATAATGTAATTTTATGAAGATATACTGAGTTCAACTTTATCATTATTACCTGAAGCTTAAAGTATAAATTCTTTGAGTATGTGAATAAAGCATCAGTAATGCAGTAGTGTATATAGAGTGTAATTATTGTTCAATAGGAGAGTATATCAAGACCCATTATTTATCGGGTGGCCCATTGTTTTGAGCCCTGATCCACAATCAGGTATACCTACTTTTACTTTCTATTAATTGTGTGTGCATATATTATTGTAAATAGATTTGTGATCTATTCATTCTACTGTAAAAGTTCTGTTCGATTCATTTTCTTATTTTCAATACGTGGATGTTGTAAGGGGCATAACTCTTACTTTTCTTTTTACATGTATTCATTGAGTACTCAGTATAACATGGTATAACATGCAATATTTTTATGATCTATTATAATAAAGTAAATCGTATCTTATTGCATATATTATAAATTCAATATAATTGTTTTCTAAATACTTATAATCTGTTATTGATATTTTCAGGGCTTTTGCTTGTTATACAATGCATTCAACATCTATAATAAATTATATATGAGAACCTGAGGCACAGGAGTTGTTCTTCTATCAAAACCCTGTAACATATTAATTAATAAAAATGATCGAAAGAGTAGTTAAGATTCTTTTTCACTCTAGACGTATTATCCACGATTTTACCAGACAACCCTCGTGAAAGTGAACATAAACTAAACTTAATTCAGGAGGTATTTTGATAACTGCTTTATGTAACCAGGTTTACTAAGCAACATTTTCTATGAAAAAAAATCTTGAAAAAGGTTTGAACTCTTTACTTGGTAATATTTATTCATGTTTTCAATCGTTTTATTTCTTATATCAGTCCATCAGTTTTACTATTTAGAAATTGACACTTAATGTAACTTTTACATAAGCGCTGCTATACATAAAAATAAATAGATTTAATTTTATTCTCTGAAAGATTATAAATACATGTAGTAAGACAATAAATATTCAGAGAAATTTTTGTCATGAAGAATAGGTAAAGCCTATTTCTTTGAATATTATCTTACTGACTTGAACAGAACAAAGTCAATCAAATACATGTAAATGTATATATAAAAAAAACCTTTTTGCTACATATAGTTTACATAAGGGGGTGATCAAAAAGTTCGCGAACTTATTGAATAACTTCCATAAAAGAAACAAAAATTGATTTCAATGTTGATTATATTTTAAATTAATCCTCTCCGATTTTAATCCACATCAAACACCATTCTGCGCATGCGCGAATTACGTGATGTTGGCGGTCACGTGACCCCCTCCGTAGCATTCTGTCACAAAAAATGAAAGATTTTTTTTTTACTTTTATATTTCTTTCCATGTCAGTTAAGGTTTCGTCAAAGGTCAACATGTCCAAAAATTTATTTTTACAATAGCCCCAAAACTATGTGCTGTATAAACTTAAAACTTTTACAGTTCATAAATATATTATTGATTAATAGATAGAAAGTATCCCTTGATTAAAAAAAAAAGAAACGAGAAAAAATATTTATTAAGAAAAATTTTTCTTAAAAATGCATATATTTTTTTAGAAATACATTTTATTCATTCCGCGCTCTTCGTGAAAACCATTATTGCAGAAACAAAATATGTTTATCAACATGATCAATGAATGGCAAGTTACTCTTGGATAGCCTCTGAAAAGTTGTTTTCCTTGTTTATTCTGTCCAAATGTTTAGACTTGAAAGTGAAAGTACATCGCTAATGGCGTATTTTATAGGGTTCTTGTCTTTATACATGTCATGCTTTCAATAACAGCCTTTCAGAGATCATTCACGTCCAACTTGCTCTTCAATGATAAACATATATTATTTCTGCAATGATGGCTTTCACAAAAAAGACATAATTAAGCAGGTGCATTTTTCTTTAAATATGCAAATTTTCTGACACAATTTTTCTCAAAAAAAATATCTTTTTAAAAATAACTGTCATCAAGCGATACTTTCTATCTATTAATCAATGATATATTTGTAAACTTTAAACGTTTTGACTTTATACCACACATAGTTTTGGAGCTATTGTTAAAAATAATTTTCAGTCATGTTGACCTTTGACGAAACCTTAATTTTTAAGACAAGAACCGTTCATTGGTCAGAAATGGTCAAATCTCGGCAATAGAATGGGTGGATATGACTATCCTTTCCAAATATAGGCATGGCGATCATTAAAACAAAAAAAACTTCTGTCTCGGGAGAGACCTTTCTTCAAGGTGGATAGAGAATGGGTGCCTCCTTTTTATCATATCTAATACATGTATGTTTAAAATCAAAAGTAATTGATATCTTAGGTATTGAATAATTATATTATAGTTCAAATATTCAACTATTTTTCAAAGTGTAAATTGGACGTCTTTGATAGCAAATTGCCTAATAAAAAACCCATATCTTTTCAAACTTGCTTTCACTGGGCAAGATGACAACTATCATTTTTAACCATCTGCCTTCCTTCAATAAACCATCAATCCAATCATTAATTGAATTTATAGGAGCTCATTTATCTTAATAAACTGTGTACAAATTATTATATGATACTGAAGAGGGATTTCTGAGATATACAATAAATTGTAGTCGTTTCTTGAACGAGTTCGACTGAGACAACCATTTTGCGTCACAAGTGACCTTCCAAGTGACGTTATTCTCACATTGTGACGTCACAAACAAGGAGAAAAACTTGTGTATGGCTATCTGTGTACCGAATTTCATTCTAATCTGAATGGTGGTTTTGTAGATGAAGGATATGGAAATAACGAACAGTATTCAATCTCAACGTCCATTAAACAAATATACAAAATAAGAGAATAAGAGCAGAGCAAACACGGACCTCCGAAACATCAGAGGTGGGATCAGGTGCCATGGAGGAGTGAGCATCCCCTGCCGACCGGTCACACCCGCCGTGTGCTCGTTGTCATAATCAGGAAATAACGGAAAAAATCCGTGGTCAATTCAGTGTATAAATAATGGACTAACAATTGGTATGAAAAACGTCAGTCAGCATTTCATTCAATGATAAATTGTATTTGCTGACAAGGTCATTGTATCGACCATAGAATTTACGAAATGATGACTTTAAACGAGACTGTTGATATTCTTGTTTCATCAACTTGCTTGTCAATAATTTACCTCGTTTAAGAAATTGTTCATACGTAGAGCATGCTCTTGCGTATCGAATCAACTGAGATATAAATACTCCGTATGCAGGTGATGAAGGTATATATTTGCTGCATAAGTAAGGGAAGTTGACGATAGAAAAGTTAAAGTCATCACGTTAATCATATAGCTTGGTTGTTAGATTACCATTAGTGTCTTTTTCAAGTAAAATATCCAAGTATGAAGCAGAAGTGTCGGACTCCGTGGTATCTTTTATCTCAAGCTCACCAGGATATATCGTGTCGACGTAGGAATGGAAATTATCATAATTAATTGACAATACGTCGTCGATATATCTAAATGTCGAGTTGAAGGCCACAGCAAGTGTTTTCTTCTTATCACGTAAAAGATTTTGCATAAATTCTGCTTCATATGAATATAAAAATAAGTCTGCTAATAACGGAGCGCAATTTGTACCCATGGGAATTCCAATAGATATAGAGATAGTTCGCAAATTTTTTGATCACCCCTCGTATACCATGACCGAGTGACCACTTTTGGTGCAAATCAATTGCAAATCAATATATATCGAATACAAACAGTTTCAAAATGGACTACAACGCTTAGCATTGACTTAATAGAAAATGTTGAATAACTGTAATGCTTTTAATTGTTCATTTTACCTGTACAAATAAGTTAATGAATATCGTTGAAAAAAATAGATTTTTTGTTGTTTTTTTCTAAATAAATGTGGATGGATGACAATGTCGAAGCGAGCAGGGGTGGACATTGCTCTAGCCAACGGGAACATATTCCGGTACTTAATATAAGGAAATAAGCAACACTCTGGCTCCTCTTGTACCAAACTATGAAAATAGTGCTTATCATACCATACATCGTCAAGAACTATGCTGAAAAGAGGGTAATGTTCAACAACATATAACCTAAACAATCCAAAGGTAGATCTCAGAACCTATAAAGAATCTCTAAGTACTGTTTGTTTGGAAACAATGGCTAAGATAGATATGTTATCTCTTTCATATCTCCATCTTTCGAACATACAAACAATAAGTCTTTCAACGAGACACAACAAGCAGTAGGACATGTCCTTTCTTCAACGATGCGTAGAAGTTCCCCATTTTTATCTATTATGTGGATGCCATTTCTTGGATATGCAATGAGGATGTTACACTGTCTATCCGTTGCAACAGTTCGAGGAACATAAGTTGAATTCTCGGAAGGTGGATAGGGGAAACGTAGGGCTCCTTTGCGTTCCAATACAAATACTTTCTTTCCAACTGAATCAGAAATACAGATGTCTCCGTTTTTGTTTTCAGCAAGAAACCGTGGATTTATGTAGGGCTTTTCCTCTGTTTCATTGCCTAGATATCCTACACATGTTCCATTAGATTCCACTTTGATAACGTTTCCTTTCTTTAGTTTAGCATTATACAGTCCAATCCAAATATGATCTGGGGTAACAAGGGAAAATGCAATCCCTCTCGGGTTCCATCCATCAGTTTCAGGGGCGAAGAATGGTCTAGTACCCTCAGTTGAAAAATATTCATCTGTTTCATATACATTTTTGCAATTCGTTGCCGTGTAAAGAATGCGAGAACTAGATGTAGCAATACATCTGATAATTGAATCTCCAATATTTCTCTTCAACTCATTTTTAGACCAGCCGCCACCTCCCTGCTTTTGGTAAACCATGACGGACTGATCATTGCAAACAATAATCCGCTGGGATTCCGGCAAGTCTGGTAGGAGTGCAATGCTCCATACCTCTTTTACATTCTCATCTTTGTCCACGATTCCTTCTACGTTGGGATTAGACGAGATCATTCTATCATCTTTACCGTAAAAGGCAAATCTATGAAATCCTGGAGAGGTTTTCGTTTCCAAGTGATCACCAACGCATCTTTTGCAAACTTTTGCTTCACAGGGTTTGCATACAAAACGCACCCCTTCATCACATTTATAGCAGCGCACGATGTCTTGACCTTGGAGATTTCTGTCGTCAGCTTTATTCCTTCCAGAAGTGTCACCATTATTGCCGAGCCTGTAATATTATCACATAACACAAACCTGCTTAAAAATTATTGATTATATTTGTAACAATTACTTAGTATGCCATTTACCAAATTAAACATCCATGATTAATGAGATAATTCCAGCGCTATCAATTTATTTTACAAATCATCCTTTTTCTCAACAAATGTATAAAAGAAAAATTTACGTACCCCAGTTTTTTCAATGTTTTCGTCGTCATTTTATTTTAACTTTCAATCTAAAATAGCACGAAATGGTATGAAACGAAGATATTTGATTTCTGTAGTCTTTTGAAATATGAATGTGCATTATATACAGAGGCTATTTATATCTTTGGATTCTCCATTTTTAAATGTTTTCAGAAAACAGAATGGCTATTGAACAGTGCAACCATACTAAATTATTATCAATACAAGATCTCAGCGATAGAAAATTTCATTTCAAAAGATATATTCATTGAAAGCATGGTGCGAGTAATTGAAAATGTCATAAGAGAATATATTTTATTGATTTAGAAATAAGTGCCTTGCATGACCATATATCCGTAATGGATTTTAAAAAAGAAAACATGTTATTGAATATCCCTTTTGTATGTAACTGCAGATCTGTAGCGTTATGGTTTTTTCATGTTCTAAATTTTGAATTAACCGGGAATTTAGATCATGACAGTTTCTTATACTTGTCTTTGACCATAACGCTACATATGCCTAAATGCAAAAAGGTGCTATTTACCGCGCAATATTTTTGCGCGCTTTTGGGGAAAATTTCTCCACTTTCTAGCATTGGTCAATCAACTACCTTTCTCTCCCTAATTCTATACTCATTATTTATCTAATCTATATATTTTATTCATCTACCTACCCTTTATAGTCGTCTCTGCAAGTGATAAAGTCACTTGACTTAAACTATATGTTAGATTGCTAAAAATTCACTTCAAGCGAGTTTATTGTTTTTAGAGAAAGCTATAAATGGTTAGGAGGTGGATAAAATATAAATATTGGCTACAGAATATGACTAGAATGAGGGAGTGAAAGGTAGTTGATTAACCAATGCTAGAAAGTGGAGAAATTCTCCCCAAAAGCGCGCAAATAATATTGGGTCGTAAATTGAACCTTTTTTTTTGCATTACGGGATCTGTAGCGGTATGGTCAAAGACGAGTACCGGGTATATAAAACCACAACGCTACAGATCTGCAGCTATTTTGTATGAAAAAGGAATATTTCTGGTTTTTCTTTTAAATTTAAAAAAACTATCATGAAATATATTAAGTTTTTAATTTGTTTTGCTTTTTTTTTGCTATGGTGTATTCATTTTATTTGTACTGTTAACGATGTCTACACTTGTTGATATTAAGGTCAAGAAAATTCTTTTGGAGGTGTTTGATCTGAGTACAACGTTTTTGCTAATAATAATACAAGTTCTCAATAATTTATATACATACCCAAACACTGCATGTTGGATTTTTCCCCTTCATCTCAGTTTTTAAAACCGAATCTACCCCCCACCCCCACCCCCCCCCAACTGGATTTTTTTTTCATTTCTGAAGAGGTACTTTTTCATAACTCAGAACATTTTTCATTTGGTGCTAGGGATTTCATATTGCAGGATATGTTTATTCAGTATGATAAACCCTTTCCTTGGGTTTTAATATTTTAATGTTTTGACTTTGGAGTCTGACCCACATAAAAAAATGAAAACTTTGGCCACAGTTTTTTTTCTATTCAGAATATGTTAATAAAAATAATTATTTTGAAATTAATTATATTTTCATTGACAAAAATCAAAAGACATGATTGTGTAACTTTTTGTCAAACATCAGAAACATTGACATGATTAAGCTTTTTCACCTTTTTGATGATTATGTCTCTCTTTACATTCAGAACCTTACATTAATTAATTAATTAAGCAAAAGATGTGTGCATGTTGACACGGCTTAATAAAAAGAAAATGTCAAGCAATTACTCATTTCATTTCATAAAATGTGAGGGTTTCATAATTGCTACATATGCAACAAACATTATTTTTCTTGGCATTTTTTACAAAAACTGGATTGTTGAGATTGCAAAATATCCTAATTAGTTCACCAGAATTTGATAACATATGGATATTATGACTATGCATTCCAGTAACATATATGTTTCCTTGTGAATCGCTCTCAAGTCCATATGGACATTTCAGATCAGGACTTGTATATTCCCAGACGGATTCCCATTGGTCAGTTATGGCACTTACTTTGTCAATCTTCCAGTCAGTGTACACAATAAATCCAGACTTTGTAGTAAGAATATTGAAAGCACTTGAGCCTGTTGTCTTAAAAGACTTTATTTTGTTACCCACATTTTAACAATCTTGCTGCCACAGGCCAAGTAAAAATACTCTTTCAACCTTGATATCCCAAATGTGTCAAATCCAAGGTATATGGTTCTTGAAATCTTGAAATCAAATACAGAAAACACATCAATTGATTGTGAATCAGCGCAAGCAACAAACAAGCCATCTCCATCAGGCAATATGTCATATGGATTCTGCAATGGTTCTTGCATTTCAATCAATTTCCATTCCTTTTTAGAGAGTTTTCCATAACAAAATCTCCCTTTCTGTCCATCAGAAAATATGAATGTTTTGTTTGATAGCCATGCTCAACGGTGAATCCTTCCTTCACTGACATTAAATTTAGTGTAGTGGTTTAGATTTTTATTTCATAGCCATCGTTTCGTAATTCATATTTTACAAGTATCTGCTAGTATTTCAGTCTGATAATTCTATTTACCGTTTGTTTTCAGTTGTTACTTAAGTAAAAGCCCTTTATTATTTGTCTTTTGTAAGTTAGGACATGAGTTGACATTCCACATGTTTTGCTTTTTAAACAGGAAATGTCATCCATGTTGGCAGTCTTTCCGTAGTACTTTTGATACCTGTGTTCTGATTGGTTAATTTAGCTTCGCAGTTCTGTTAAGGCTTACTATGAGAAATCATCGGAAAACAGAACTGCAAAAACGGGAATTGTTTTTAAAACTGAATTTATTTTTATTCAGCTGTTTTATTATCACAGAACTTAAATACTTCTGGCAATAGCATAGTAATACCTACTCTGTACTGCATGGAGTTTGTTCCATCGATGGACAGTCACGTGATGAATGCATTGTAGGTACACGGAATGTAGGTCAATAACAAATTTCAATATCGCAAGGGCATACCCTAGTTGAAATTAAAAATTCAAGCTATTAATTGTTCCTGCATACTTTGTTTTTTCTGGAAACTGCTGCTGCTTTGAATAAAATCCGCGTTTTAATAGTTAACATTTCAAGTAAATAAGTTAATGTCGAAATATGTTTGACTTTTACCAAATATTTTGTGTACTTATAAAGTCATGCTCTCGAATTAACGAAAGCAGCAGCACTTTTCAAGTTAAGGAACATATCCTCTATTTATATTCAAAAAATGGTCAAGATTTATTTAGTGTATACTCTTGCGAAAGAGCGATTTAACGAGGCACCTCGATGTAAAATATACCTAACCTGAACATAAAAACACGAGAATTATTTAAATACATTCTCTCGATAGTTAATGAATAATGCACTAAACAAAGGATATGCATTGGTATTATTAGCCTATTAAAAACCTGTAAATAATATTCTTTTTATAATAAAACGCATTTTTCATTGTTAAAAAAATTCCCAAATCTGCCTCTCACAGCACATGAAATACGTCATTTTTACCAAAATGACGTCATGATTGACAAGTTCATCGAGATCAGTGATTTGTTTAAAACCAGCTGTATGGGATTTAACTAGCGACTTTTGTTGATGCATTGATAAGTTTTATTGTTGTTTATTATGCTAATACAGTTTTAAGTTGCAAATTATTTCATTTTCGGGTAATATGAGGAATGCATAAAAGTCATTTTTTGTGTGACGTCACAGTAAACTTTTCCCGTATGAATTACGCCCCGCCCCCCTTTTTCTAGCCTTAACAGTGCTGCGTTTAGGATCTTTGATAGTCATTGGCTTTTATTTTGGGCCTAGCTAGGGTATTTAAACCCGTGTTCGAGCAGTTTTCTTCACTTGGGTTGGGGAACACAGCCTCATGGTTAGTTCCTCTTTTCTGTGCTAAGAAAACCTTATGGTTTATGAGCACTATTTGATTAGATACTTAGTGGGCTAAGAAAACCTTATGGTTTAACAGTTCTCTAGGTTTTGGCTTAGATTTAGTTTCACGTTTTTCACATGTTAGGAAACAGTTAGGATGTAGGGTATTTCAAGTAAATTAAGTTTCCCTTTCCAAGTCCAGCCTGGTCTAGGGATTTGTAGATAACAGGTTTATTTTCTAGAGCCACTATTTATTATTTATTTTGGGGTGTTGTTTATTTTCTGGGTTAGTTATTTTTAGAGCCTAGAATTAGTACATGTATTGATATTTTCAGATTAACTCTAGAGTGTTGATAGTGTCATATTGGGTGATGTAGCTCATTCCCTTTTCATTTTTCCATCTCATTGATTTTTATAGGATATTTCACCTTTTTGACAAGTATGGCAGCCCAGTAGGGACATAGATTATTTTTCATAAGTTTGCCACATTCCTCCCATTTTTCATTACATTCTTCAATTATTTATTCTTTTAGATTATTATCATTGAGATTATAGAGATTCACTTAACAGATTAAATCAATTTTTGATAAATTTTTATTTATCCTGTGCCATTTTCAAAGACTTTTCTGTTTGTTAAATTTTGATCATTATTTATTATTTGTTATCATTTACAACGGTTAATTCTCACTTTATTAAATTGATAAAACTTACAACTGTGTTTTCATTTAGCGTTGACCATAGTTCAGAAATCCCCTTACCTGGGTTGATCATTGATAACTGGAGATAGTTTACTCCTTTAAGCCGAGTTGGCTAGTAACTTTAGTAATTTATACACTGAAGAGTTCTACTTCCGGTTACATTAGTAATAGAACATAGCTGAACATTGCTAACATCAAAGGAAAACTCTGGAATATCTTCAACCAATTCAGTGACCTTGAAACTTGCCAACTTCTTCATGTTTGCTATTTCTTTCATAATAGGTTCTTTCATAGCCATTACCTGTACCAATTTTGTCCTAAATCTTATTCTTTTCAGGTTCTGAAATGCCTCTTTTGCTGCATAATATTTTATCGGTAGGATTGACTCATCTTCTTTTCCCTGGGCTTTTTCAAGGATATCAGAACAAAAGTCAGCACACTGAATACCATCGCTCAAGGTGCCCACATTTCTAGTAAGTGTTTCTTTGCTTTTTTTACAACAGCAGAAATCTCATCTAAATGTTCTGTTTTTAATCTCTCTATAAGACAAACAAGATCATTTACTTCTTTTTCTGCCTCCTCTGTAACTCTGTCTAACGTGTCTTCTAGTTCTGTTATATTTCTCTCTTGTTTGCCCTTTGCATGTGTCAATTTCTGTTTAAAATTTCTCACATCCTGTAAAATGCTATCAAGTGTGCCACTCGCTTTGAAAGATTCTGCAGCTCTTTCAATAGGTTCAACAGAGTCGCATTGTCTATGCTCCATGCCACCACAGACAACACAACAAGGCTCTTCATGTTTGTTACAGTAGAGTTTCAGCTTTTGGTCTGGGTGCTTCTTACAAATGTCATCTTTTCCAAAGGCTGACTGAATGTGTTGCGATTTTAACTCTTTGAGAGGACAGATGCTATGGTCTCTTGATAACAAATGTTTCTTATGAAACTTGGTACACATTTTGCATAAAAACTCCAAACAAGATAAACAAAAGTCAGACGCTTCTTCCTCTTCATTATCTCTCATACAAGAATCGCACATTTTTTGTTCTGGACTTCCTAGCATTTTCTCCAATATTTCATTTACAGGAAAAGTTTCTGCCCATTCCTCCGGCTTATCAAACGGACCGACAACTGGAGTGTATTTTCGGCACAATGGACAATTAAAACCTAAGCGCGGTTCTGTAAACTTACACACACTTACAATATGTGACGATAAACAGCCATGACAAAAGGAATGAGAACATGGTAGATATCGCGGTGTTTTGTATTTCTCAAAGCATATAGAACAAACTGTGACGTCCTCAAACGATGAGCTGTCAGTCAAAGCAGTAGCCATCTTCTTTATCCTCTCAATAGTAACAATATATTTCTTTTTAGAATAAAAACTTTAGAAGGTCTAAGAACAAGATTCCATTTGTCATTTCCTTCTGGCCCTTCTCGGTAGTGGATCAGTTTTACTTTCGGTTTTAGTCAAATTGTTTTTCGATCCCGATCTAAATTTTCCATCTAGGTTGCAGAATGGTGTAATTTATGTATTAACATGTTTTTTCTAGGTGTGTCTGAAAACACTCTCTGAAATAAGAATCAGAAATCGCTGAAATAATCACGTTTCAAAAAGTTATTGAATAAAAAAAGTAAAACTTGCGTTTTTGAACAGCTAGTACGAATTTAATATTAAATTATTCACATGAGTATTTCTTGTTACAAACCCTTTCTCTTGGTACCAACATATCAATTACCTTTTGAATGGCTGAAGCTAGAGCTTTAATTGAAGATCAAAGCCCTATGCTGTATAGATATGAAATATATAAACAGCAGCATGTTTTAAACATAGGTTAACGACGTTCGATCCTGATATTTAAAGTCTTAAAGTTTTTTTGCCAAGTATATTTTTAGTTTCTACATACATAGCTTAATTAAAATTTAAATCAAAAATTGGGGGTTAATATGCTTCTTTTAGCGCTACAGTACATTTAATATGACCTTTCTGCACTGAAATTTGTGTCTTAATTAAGAATTACATCTTCGACGTTTTCCCACCAATATTTTTATCCAATTAGAGCATGAAACAAAATGAACTCAAAGTCTGTTTAAAAAAAGACACTTAAAAATTGTGACTAAGAAAAAGATTCAAATTGCTTCGCATAATCAATTATTTGACCTTTCTGCACTAATAAAATATTATTTTTCCGGCATTGAAAATATAATAGGCAAGAAAATGATTTTAAAGTCTTAAACTTTTTCTGATTTTAAGCAAATAGGTCAAAGTTATCTTGAATATTTAGAAAAGAACATCAAAAGTGGGGGTATATGATGTACATTTTCAGATATTACTAAAAAAGTGTGAATTTTACGTTAAAATTGGCTCAATATTTTCCCGGATTTTCAGAATATATTTACTATATTTGTCACACTTTGTTGATAGAATTCATAAGAAATAATTTAATAGATATTTCAGAACCAGCATAAGATATTTCACTGTAAAAAAACAGCTTTGTGTGCAACCATCATGGAAAAATAGGCATCCAAAATTAACAGCACTGTTATAGTTCAAATGGAGAAAACTGATTATTTTCGTCTAAAAAACCTTCCGCAACAAAATATAGTCCCTACCTTAATTCTACTTGAATGGAATTTAATCGCGTTTTTTTTCATTGAATATAGTTTAATTTGCATTGTAGAATTCAGTTTTATTGTTAGAACCTAAAAACGATGCTTAATTTTATGAATAAAGGACCTGCGCGAAATACGCTCAAAATATCAGGATCGAACGTCCTTAATAAAAGATTACGAAGCTCATCTCGACAAATGTTACAGTTGTTTGGCCAGTTCCGAATAAGAAGCCGATTCGGCTGAGCTATAAATATACTAGACATTATTTCAAAATTTAAGTGTTTTGTCAAGGTAGTTCGATGACGTGTGGAATCAAATATTTTTTCATAAAAATTTATCCTGCCTTTAAAAAAATTTATTTCGAAAGTTACCATAGGTGTCATTTTTACCAGTTACGAATAAGCCGACGAGTTCCGGATAGCCCAGAGATTTTTATTCAATTCAACCCTAAATTAAAAAATATACGTCCCAGATGTTATCCATTGGAATGCCAAGGAAAAGTGAAATTAATTTCTTACCTGCAATATATCATTTGTATTTCCAAAGGTTGAAGAGACACTAGAGGTACTGTGGGCACTGAGCTCGTTTTAATGATACCCCACACCTTCTTTATGATTATTTAAGACATATTCCATGTTTTCCATGTTTTGACCCGAAATTAGTGTCAGATCAAAAAGTAAAATTAAAGTTCATTATGTCACAATGTAATCAAGAATCTGTGAAAGTATCATTAAATCTTATTCAGTGGTATAGGAGGAATTGCGGATTAGAGATGGATAATCCTTTCAATTACAAAGAGTAGCGGTATCTACGTTTTTCTCAGGGAGCCCAAATTATGTGCCTGATCCAAAAATAAAATAGTTTTACTTTGGCACTATTAAACAAAGATTCTGTGAAAGACTCATTTAATTCTGTGAAGCTTCATTAAACTTAATTCAGTGGTAGAAGAGGGGTTGCGGATAAGAAATGGATATCCTAGAGCATATCAGACGGACGGACGTACAGCTGGACGCACGGACGGACATAAAGACGGACGGATGGACAAACATTCCTTTACTTTATACCCCCTTGTTCATGTTTTACAAGCGGGGATATAATAAATCAGGCTTACAATGAAGAAAACAACGAAGAGCGAATTTATAAAAGTGTTTAAAAATGGGTATTCGGAACTGGTAAAATAAGAAGACGAAAATATTTCGATATCTTCCAGTGTTTTAAATATTTATTATTGACAAGTTTTTAGTATATGTTAGAGTACATATCAAACTTATTTTTAATACCTGGAACGTGGTTTTATGTGAAAAATTTATAAATCTACAGAGGTTTTTCTTCAGACTTGCGCGTCGCGGTGATTCACGTTTGTTGCGTTGTAAAAGTATGTCGACTGTTTCGAGTACGATAACGAAACCAAACCGAGGGTAAAAAAATCAAAACTTCGCCTAATTCAAACTCTAATAAATAAGCCTCCTTACCATAGAAACAATTTATTTTTACACCGTTGAATTAATCAATTATCAGTCCTTACATTACTAATTATTCGGAACTGGCCAAAATCCGGAACTGGCCAAACGACTGTATCAATGTACATGTAAGTAATTCAAATCTCATAGATCAAATTTTCTTAACAGTTAGTATTTATCCTGACAACAATATTACAACAAGTTCTGTTTCAATATAGGCCTTAAAATTCATTTGGGATTGACCTATTCCAATAACTAGGTCAGGGATCCAGGATCCAAAGAAGTCTTGTAGTGTCCATCTCTACTTGCATCATCCATGCAAGTTTGGTCCGGGTTGAGGCAATCTAATTAAAATTATATATGTTAATTAAATCCGTATATAGTGAGTATGCCAGCGGATCTGCATGACATCTAATTTTAATTAGATTGATGGGGAAGAGGCTGATAGTTATTTGGGAATGGACCTGCTCCAAAAACTTTAATCTGGTCACTCTTTCGGAAAATGTAGGTCAGATCCAGCATTCGATGCAAATTTCGATTGTCCATTAGATGCATCATTCATGCACGTTTTGTCCAGGTAGAGCTTAATATAGTTTATGGGGAATAACTTAGTCATTCATCTAGAAAATGTATAGATCTGCATCCGAAGCAAATCTTAATTGTAGTGTCCATCCTTATAGATGCATCATCTATGCAAGTTTGATCAAGGTAGCACTGATAATTTACTTGGGAATGGAACTGCTCCGAAAACTTTAACCTGGTCACTCATCTGGAAAATGTAGGCCAGATCCAGCATCCGAAGCAAGTGTGGTAGTGTCCTTCCCTAGATGCCAATCTCTTCGTGTCCAGAGGGCGTTTATGCCATCCACGCCAACACCTTTGTTATCGTCTAAATTACATGAATCTCGTAAAACGAAAATAAATCATAGATGTACATCAACTTAGTAATTTTTAAAAATGAAATTAGAAATATTAATTTGTAGTACTTCTTTTTTTTTTATTTAAAATTAAAATATCTATTAAAATAACTTCAATACCGGTATATAAGGCACTATTTTGTTTTGATTTTTTTTTCATTTTGAAACCTAGGAGACAAAGTTCGAAAAAATATTTACTACCAGAGAGCTTAACTCTTTACAACTTACTGAACTGTTATGCTCCATGCACTAAATGATCACGTCATAGACATAGAAATTTACCATTTCCCCGCAAGCGCCTTTTAGCGTGGTACACGTTTCTCTAATGTTTAGCGTAAATAATATTATGACGCTGTATTTCAATACAAAAATGACTTTTCTTATTTGATGAGATTTTTGCAAGTATAAAATAGAAGGATATTGGCATTGAATTAACGATTAAATGAACTTTTTAAAGTGCGTGAAAATGCGTGATTGCGGGGAAACGGTATATGCGTGATTTTGCGTTAGAAATAGGAAATGGTATATGCGTTAAAATGCGTGACTGCGGGGAAGGGGGTTAAAATACGTTACATCACTTGCAAAACATACAAAACAATTCATGTTTATACAATTTTCGTTGACATTTAATTATTTGACAATCCGAACTACTTTTTAGACGACAACAGAGGTGTAAGCGGTCTCTGGTGAAAAATCGCCCTTAATGCATACTCTATGCAAATTTGGTCCGCGTAGCCCTGGCTTACAGTTACTTGGGAATGGACCTGCTTCATACACTTTAATCTGGTCACTCATCTGAAAAATGTAGGTCAGATCCAGCATCCGAAGCAAGTCTGGTAGCGTTCATCTCTATATTGTTGCATCATCCATGCTAGTTTGGTCACCGGTTAGGGCATATATAGTTACTTGGGAATGGACCTACTCCAAAAGCTTTAACCTGGTCACTCATTTGGAAAGTGTAGGTCAGATCCAGCATCCGAAGCAAGTCTGGTAGTGTTCATCCATAGATGCATCATTCATGCAAGTTTGGTCCCAATAGGGCTTATAGTTACTTTGGAATGGACCTGCTCCAAAAACTTTAACTTGGTCACTCATCTGGAAAATGTAGGTCAGATCCAGCATCCGAAGCATCTCTGGTAGTGTCCATCCCTAGATGCATCATCCATGCTATGTTGCGTTCTTTTTTCCTTTGAAGACCTCTGTGATTTTATTTTTAATACATCATGGCTAAGAGACCAGGCAAAATTTTTTTTAGTTAACGATCTGATAAATATAGTTTCACGATTTGTGAAAAACTCTTAACTATAGTTTTAGATTGTAAATTATAGTTTACAGACGTGAATTTATATGTTTGTCAACAAAATCTAATGTAAACGTTTTATTACAGACAAATAAACCTAGATTAACATTCGTAAACTATAGTTAACAACAGTTAAATATAGTTTTACAGATGAAAAATATACATGTATTAGGCGTGCCATAACTTTGCTCTATCAAGATG